AAATATTCTGCTGCTGAACACAAAAGAATAACTGAAAGACTACTACTGTATACCTCTTATTCTCCTCTGTTTAATTGTTTGCCCTATTTGGCGGGTTCTTTCCATTCGCATTCATGGGGCTGTGATCAATTTGCTCCCTCTCTAGAACATCATTTAGTAGTCTGTGTAGGCTTGGCTTTGTCATCATGAAATTCTTCAGTTTTTCTTTGTCATGGAAATATTTCACTTTTAGATTCATTTTAGATGTAAGAAACACAAAGCTTAAAGAAATGTGACAGATGGCCATGGTGGTATACATCTGTTATTCTAGCTATTCAGAGGGTCAAGCAGGAGGGTTGCAAATTCAAGCTTTGCCTGGGCAATTTAGCCACTTAGTAAGACCCTGTCTAAAAATAACAGAATAGGGGCCGGGGAGATGGCTCAGTGGAATAAGCACTTCCCTGGCAAGCGCAAGGGCCTGAGTTCAATCCCCGGTTCTGGGAAAAACAAAACAAAACAAAACAAAACAAAAAACAGAATACAATAAATAAATAAATAAAAAGGCCTGGGGCTGAGCATGGTGGTGCTTGCTGATAATCCCAGCACTTGGTAGACTAGGGAGGAGGATCATTTCAAGTTTGAGGATAGCCCGGGCTACACAGTGAATTTAAGGTCATCCTGAATTGCAAAGGGAGGCCCTTGACTTAGAATTTTCAGCAGTGCTAAAACTGTTAAGAGTTCTGGCAACTCTTGGAGATGGACCTAAATGCCTTTTGTATAAAGGGATGTGCATGAATCTTTGGGGGGCCAGGGAGTAGAATATTATGGTTTGTGTCTACATGTCCCCCCAAAGCCTCATGGGGCTTTTTCAGAGGTGGCCAGATCTAGAGTGTGTGACTCGACTGATTTATAAAGCAATGCTAGGCTCAAGGCCCCTGGGATTAAGGCTGTGAGTGCTATGGTGCCCCGAGTAGCCTGAATAAGATAAAAGGGGCAGAAAAGTGTTGTTAAGGGCCGGGGAGATGGCTCAGTAGGATAAGTGCTTGACTGGCAAATGCAAGGATCTGAGTTCAATCCCTGGTTAAAAAAAAAAAAAAAAGTGTTGTTAAGGGCCCTTGCTTGCTTGCTTTTGCTGTCTTCTGCTTGCCATGAAGTGGTTCTACTCTATGATGTTCCTCTGCCAAGCCACCCTGCTTCGGAGCCAGTCACAGACTGAAACCTCCACAAATGGTGAGCTAAGTAAATCTTTCCTTTTAAAATAAAGATAGAGGGCCGGGGAGATGGCTCAGTAGAATAAGCGCTTGCCTGGCAAGTGCAAGGGCCTGAGTTCAATCCCCAGTTCCGCCAAAAGAAAATAAATATAAATAAAAATAAAATAAAGATAGAGGGGCCAGAAAGACAGCTCAGCAGTGTAGGCACCTGCCTGGCAAGTTCAAGGTCTTGAGTTCGATCTCTGGTACCAAAAAGGGTGGGAGGAGGCTAGGGTCTAATTCAATGTGTAGGCTCTGAGATTAATCCCTAGTATTGAAATGACAAACCAAAGTTTAAAGAAATAAGGCAACTGGAAGACAGTGGTATACGTCTGTGATCCCAGCTCTTCAGGAGACTGAGACAGTAAGATCACTAGTTTGAGGCCAGCCTGGGCTATACAGCAACATTGTGCCTCAAACTAAAAACACAGAACGGGCTGGAGATGTCGCTCAGCATTCCCAATCCAATCCCGTGGTGGAGTGGGGTGGGGTGGGGTGGGGAACAAGTGGCTCAGGACTGGGGAGCACCAGCCCCACAGCACACCCTCAGCCCAGGCCAGGGATGGTTCTCACTCCCAGGGCTCAGGTCTCTGTCCCCAACATCCACTACTGCTGGGAGACACAGGGCACCTTAGCCTGCCCCACATCCCCTGCCTCCATGCAATAAAGACACCAGGTTCTTTACAAGTTTTTATTGTTTGAGAGTAAAGATAAGGCCCTAGGCTTGGAGAAATCTGTGTCATAAAATTATAAACTGGAGACTGGGTAGCAAGGCACACAGAAGACCATCTTCACCAATCCGCCCTTCCCATTGATAAGAAAATAGGCGGAAGGCGATGAGCTCTGACCCTGACCACCCCAGGCTGGGGCCTGGGAGCTGCGAGCTCTCAAAGCTTAGAGAAGGTCACGCTCTTCATGTCCTTCTTCTCCATCGCAGCCTGGACAGATTTGACAATGTCCTGGGTCTGCAGCATGCTCATGTTCCAGGAAGCCTGGAGAAGGCAGGAAAAGGCTGGCAACACACCAATCAGGGAACAAGGAGCCAGCCAGCCCACAAGCGCCAAGTCTTGATTGGCCAGTCCACAATCAGGGCAGGTTATGATTGGCCGGGGCCAGCGTCTTACCACATATTTGAGGCCCTCAGCCACTGGATGGTCGCGGGCGTAGAGCAGATTGACTTTAGTGCCCTGCACGGCCACCGGGCTCTTGCTGGAAATCTCAGTGGCCAGGGCGAACGCAGCATCAAGCATGCGCTCCTTGTCGGGGAACACGCGGCTGGGAGAGAAAGGGTGGGAGGTACAGAGGGCCTGATTTAGGCTCTCCTCTGCCCCTTGCTCGGGAAGTGGACTTACCCAAGAGAAGGGGGAGACTCCTACAGGAGCTGTGTCAGAGCATAAAGCTGCACCCCTAAGGGCCCCCAGGGGACAGCAGGAGCCCCGCCCACATCTCTGTCCCAGCCCTTCACTCTACCTGGCCCTTCACCCTACCTGACCAGCCCACTGCTCAGGGCCTCGTCAGCCATCATCTGGCGGGCGGTGAAGGCCAGCTCATTGACCAGGCTGCAAAAAGGTTGCCGCTGTCACTCAGGGAACAGTGAACCCTGTGGTCCTCTCCTCGGGTGCCTCCCAGGGTGGTTTCGCCCACTCACCTCTGGTTTCCAATGATTTTGGGCAGGCGCTGCAGCGTCCCCACATCAGCTGCCAGGCCAATGTCCACTTCCTGGGGGAGAGGTCGCATCAGGGTTTGCTTTGTGCTTAGTATCGCTCTGCACACCACTTCCTCCTCTATGATACTTCACGTGTCCCACAGAGATCCTGCTGCCTGCCTCCAGCTCAACCACCCACTCCAAAAGTAGCCCAGCTTGGCCTCAAACTTGCAGCAATCCTCCTGCCTCAGCCTCCTGAGTGCTGGGATTACAGACATGTGCCACCACACCTGGCGGGGTTCCTTCAGTCTTGAGCAGGGCCCACCGCTGACTGCAGCTCTCCATTGGTTAGGACCAGCCCTATCTGCAGGTGACACGCTCCTCAGCCCTTTCCATCGCTCACTTCTGCATGCAGGGACTCTGTCCCTGTCTCTCTGGGCCTGTTCAACCCAGTCTCATGTCACCCCCATGCCCTGACTCCTCCAGGACCTCCCATGAATGCCCACCCTGATTTCCTCTGTCACCAAGCCTCAATTTTCTTTTTTTCTTTTTTTTTTTTGGTATGGGGGACTGAACTCAAGGCCTTCACACTGAGCTGTATCTCTGGCCATTTTTTAAAATTCTGATATTGATAAATTACCTAGGCAAAACTTGAATTTGCAATCCTGCCTCAGCTTTCCTCAGTGCTGGGATTACAGGTGCATGATGGCACCTGGCTCTAGCTTCACTTTGAAGGCTTGGTTCTTCCTCTTAAGGAAGCCCTCAGGCCTTGCTCCTGTGGCCTACCCTGTTCCTGGTCTGCCACTAACTGCCCAGGACCACGCACGGCCCCAGGAATGCAAGGCCAGGAAGTGACTTACCTTTACCTGGAACCAGGCATCCTGGGCACAGTAGCGGATGTCACAGGCGGTGATGAGGTCCACGCCTGGGACAGAGAGGCCAGGCACACTGACAAATGGCAAGAACCCCTCCCCAAGCTCATCCTGAGACCAAGTCTAAGTAGCAGCAGACCTGAGACTGCAGGCTCTGGCGGTGGCTGGAAACTCACCTGCGCCAATACAGGGTCCGTGGACAGCAGCGATCACGGGCTTGGGGCACTGGAAGGGACAGGGAGTGGGGTCAGGCTGGCCGGAGACAGAAGGGCACAGGGAACGCTCTCCAGCCCCCCAGAGCCACCTCTTCGATGACGCTGAAGGTCTTCTGGTAGGTGCTGATGAAGTTTCGCAGGTACCAGGCAATGCGGGCCGCATCGTCTCCTTGGGGCTGCAGGAGGTCTGACGCCATGTCTATGAGGTCAATACCTGATGGGAGGTGTTAGGGACCTACCAATTTTGTGGCTGTAACTTTAAGATAACCCTGAATCTGACTTTTCTTCTGCCGCACCTCTCATCCTGGTCCCCTCGCACCCAAGCCATCCCCACACGGAGGCAGAAGCAACCTGTGAACCTGGAGTCAGGGCATCTCTTCTTCTCTCCCATTCCCTAACTTAGAATAAGTGGGCTGAGCCCTGCTTAGCATATGCCAGGCCTGGCGCTCTAGCTCAGTGCAGCAGTGTCCTCCTCAGCCCCTGCTCAAAAGCATATGACGTGAACGAAGGCCTTGCTGTGACCTGGCCTGAGCCCAGCCTCACATCTGTCTGTCTGTCCCGCTACTGAAGGCACTCAGGCCTCATGAACTCCCCTCCTGGGGCCTCTGTGCCTGCTCCTCCCTCTACCTACAACTGTCCCTCCCTGGGATGCCACCAAGACTGACTGGCTGTGTTACCAAGTGTCACCTCCCAGGAGCAGCTGCCCCAGCCACTCTCCCTCTCCCCTGGCCACATCGCCCAGTTTGCACCTCACACCCTCAGGTCAGGAGTTTGTCTCACTGAGCACTGCCGTCTCTCAGATGGATGTGAGCTCTGGAAACCCTGTAGCTCTTTTGTCTTTTTTATTTTTTCCCCTCAACCATCTTCCTTTGGCCTGGAACAGGACCCCATTCACAGTACGTACTCAATTAGTAGACAACATATGACAGCTGCTGTCTTTATGGGGAGACAGACAAATGAGGACCAAGTATATTCTGTCAGGTAGTGGGAAGTGCTCAAGGAAAACAAACAGAGGTAGAATGGACTCCCTGTGCATGTGTGTGCATGTGTGGGGACTGCTGCAGCCAAAGGACTCCCTCACTGACAAGGTGACATTAGAGGACAGACCTGGCAGAGAGGGAGGGTGCCCTGGGTACGTGGGTGGGTGGGGGTTTGCAAATGTCAGGAACAGTGGCACAAAGGCCCTAGGGTGGGAAGGCCCTGGTCTCTGTGAGGCCCATGGCGGCCTGTGGGCTGCAGCAGCAAGCGCAAGATTAGAGAGGTGAGGGCAGAGTTGGGGGGACTGGGCCCTGCGCTGCACGAAGCTGAGCAGCCCCCTTCACTGGATGTGAGCCTAACTCTGTGTGTCCTCTCACCAGTAAACAGACAGCACTACTGGTCAAACCTCAGGAGCCACACTTGCCACGCCCCTGAACTGCTGTGGCTTTGCTCTGTTTACACAGAGCTGGAAAAAGCCAGGGCTCGGGAAAGCACGCAGGTTAGATGAGGAAAGCAGGATGCCCTGTGCTAGCTGGCTGGGTCGCTTCACGTAGGGACCTGGGTGGCTTCTCTGAAGTCCCTGTGAAGCCTCCCGGAAGCAGGTGGGGCCTCAAGGGTGCATGGAGGTGTAGCCCCAGAGGCACCGAGTGGGCCTGGCGTGCTGAGGGCACTGTCCCTGCTACCGTGTTCTCCATCTCAGCAGAGGTCATGAGCTGGGCCAGCCCGCCAGTGCCTCCTGGCTTCCACACCATGGCTAAGAGCCCCTTGTGACTCAGCAGCTATGCCAAGTCCCAGAATAAGCTTGGCATGGCATCCTGTGACACCTCATGTCACTGGCTTTTCTGGTTTGGCCACCCTTCTTGGGCCTACAGACATTGGCAAGGAAGAAAAGGGCACCAGGCCTTGGGACACTTGATAAGTGTGGCCATTAAAATAATAGGGGGCCAAGGATATAGTTCAGCGGCATAAGTGCCTGCCTGGCAAGCACAAGGTCACAGGTTCAATCTCTGATACCAAAATAAATAAATAAAATAATAGTTTCAGCCAGGTGTGGTGGTGTATAGCTACAATCCCAGCATTCGGGAGGCTGAGGCAGGAGGCAGAGCAAAAGTGTGAGGCTAGCCTGGGTTACATAGTAAGTTCAAGACCAGCCTGAACTCCAGTGAGACTGCCTAAAAAAAAAAAAAAAAGCAAGCAAGCAAGCAAACAAACAAAAAAGTTTCAGAGGCTGGTGAGATGGCTCAGTGGTCTAAAGTACCTACTTAGAACAAGCTTAGCAAAACACAGGGACCGCAGTTCAATCCCCAAGCACCACATGCCAGCCAGCCCCGCCCCCTGGTGGGCTGAGCTGGCCACACACACACACACACATAAATAAAATTTTTTTAAAAAAGATCTTTAAAAAAAAAAAAGTTTCAGTGTGGCATGGTGGTACACGCTTGTAATGCCAGCCCACTGGGATGATAAAGCAGGAAGACCTCAAGTTTGAGGCCAGCCCAGACACAGCCCAAACCTATTTCAAGATGAGGCAGTGTCGGTGGCTATAGATGTGTATACACTAGAGCTCAGCGCAAAGACCTGGGTTTAGGGGCCAGGGTGATAGCTCAGTAGAGTAAGAGTTTGCCTGGCAAGTGCAAGGTCCCGAGTTCAATCCCCAGTCTGGATTTAATCTGTGGTACCAGGCGGGGGAGCAGTATGACCCTGAGTTTCTTCCTTCTGTCCTCCAGGCTTTGCTGAAGAAAAAATGTGATGGCTGCAATCGGCTGGACACTGAAAGATGAGGGCCCCAGCCTGGCCCGGTGCAAGCGAAGCCCATCCTCTCTGAGGCATAAGCTCCACAAAGGCCTCGAGGGGTCAGGAGCAAGGGTGGCTCTGGCACCACAATGACCCCCTTGTGCCCAGGGAAAGGAGAAACAGAGGGGGGCAGAGAGAAAAGGTGGGATGCAAAAAAGCTGAAGAGACTAGACTGTTTACCATATGTCCCTGCTGACTTGGGGACTCCGTGGATGAACCCTGGACTGTTAGTCACCTTTGGGTACCTAGCACCAGACCGGGCCCAGTGCAGAAACCAACACATGTGACATCTGGCTCCTGCTATGCCCTAAAGGACTAACTTTCCATAATAACATACTGTATATATACTCTGCTGGACAAGACAGCAACTGGAGGCCCCTGGACAAACATTTCGAAATAGTGGCAGGAGGCCAGAATAGTGGCACAAACCTGGAATCCCAGTACTCAGGAGGCTGAGGCAGAAGTTCAAGACCAGCCTGGGCTACAAAGTGAGCTCTTAGGCCAGCCTGACCTGCATAGTGAGACCCTGTCTCAAAAAAAAAAAAAAAAAAAAAGACCAGCCTGGGCTACAAAGTGAGCTCTTAGGCCAGCCTGACCTGCATAGTGAGACCCTGTCTCAAAAAAAAAAAAAAAAATCATATATCAGGTACATGCTGAGCCACCTGTCTTAAAGCTTTTAGCCTGAAGTGCCATAGGACAGGACAGGACAGGTATGGTGGTGCACACATACAATCCAGCGCTTGGAGATGGCTCAGTGGAATAAGTGCTTCTCTGGCAAGCGCAAGGGCCTGAGTTCAATCCCCGGTCCGCCAAAAAAAAAAAAAAAAGAAAAGAAAAAGAAAAAAATCCAGCGCTTGGGAGACTGAGGTAAGAGGATCTCTGTGAGTTTGAGGCCAGCCAGGGCTACATAGTGAGTTCAGGGCCAGCCTGAACTGCATAGCAATTGTGTAAAAAAAAAAAAAAAAATGGCTTTCTTCTTTTTTTTTGGTACCAGGGATCAAATTCAGGGCCTTGTGCTTGCCAGGCAGGTACTTACGCTACTGCGCTACATCCTGGTCCACCTGTCCAAAAAAAAATAGAAGAAGAAGAAAAGAAAGAAGGACTGGGGTGGGAAGGAGTGGGGGGGACTGAGCTGAAGACTGAGACTGGGCGTGGTGGTGCCTGCCTGTAACCCCAGCGCGTGGGAGGCTGAAAAGAGGAGGATCACTACAAGTTTGATCTATGTAGCGAGACCCTGTAGACCCTGTCCTAAATTCATAAAAAGAAAAAACAAAGAAAGAAAGGAAGAGAGGGAAGGAAGGGGTAAGGGGAGGGGAAGACAGCCAGAGGACAGAGTCTTGGGTGAACATAGCTGCTAAAAGTGAAAGAGGGGGCCAGGGAGATAGCTCAGATGAACTCAGCAAGGGCCTGAGTTCAATCCCCGGCTCCAAAAAAAAAAAAAAAAAAAAAAAAGTGAGAGGAAAAAATTCCAGAAAGGGGAGCCCCAAGTCCTGGGTACAAACTACTGAAATCTCTTGCTGATTCATGAAACCATGCTTGCAGCTCAGCCAGCACAAGATTTAAAAGCTAATTCCAACTAAGCACTAAAACAGGAAATTCAACACTCTCTGAAGTCATAAAATGTAGAGACTACACATTTTATTCTTCTAACCTAATATTCAGGGTGCGATTCAAACTTAAAATACAAAGAAACAGGAATGCGAAAGCCAATTTCAAGAGAAAGGATAATAAACAGAAAACTGCCCCCTACCTGACCCAGTTCTCAGAATCAGGAGACAAGGATTTTATAGCAGCCATTATAACTCTGCTCAATGGTGCAAAGGAAAATATGTTCAGGACAAATAAAAAGATGTGACAATTCAGCAGAGAAATGGAACCGAATGGAAATTTGCAAACTGGAAACTACATTTCCCAGGGGTGGGGGTGGGGGTGGGGGTGCTGGGGGCGGAACCCAAGGCATTAGGAATGCTAAGCAAAGGCTTTGAAATTCAAAAATCACTGCATGGGCTTAATAGCAGAACAGAGATGACAGAATGTCTCCTGGCCTGCCTGAGAAGAGATGAGGCATCACTTGCACCAGACCGCTTTGATCTGACATGCAACTGCAAACCTGGAAGCCAGTGCCAGGTGAATGACTGCCCAGAAGCATGCAGGGTTTTTTTTAGGGAAGGGTCTACAGGGTGTTCAGGGCCTCACTACTAGACGGGACTCATAGTGATCTACCAGTTTACAGCCTCCCAAAAGCTGGGATTACAGGCACGAGCCACCACGCCCACTCTCAGTTACCATCTCTGTGTGCAGTTATTTTAACACACTTGGCTGGCACAGTAATAAACTCTGAGGGGTAAACACCTTGTTCAAGGCCCATACGGAAACCCAGATCAGGGCCTGTGATCCTGTTATGTTCTCCCACCACGCAGCCAATTGGACTAATTTCTTTATTTAAATTTTGAAGGGGCAGAGCTGGGAATGGAACCCAGGGACAGCGGGTATGCTAGGCAAGCACTTTGCCATAGATCTACATTCTCAGTCCTCTACATTTAAAATAAGGCCTTATTAAAAAAAAAAAAAAAAAAAAAAAAAAAGGGCTGGTGAGATGGCTCAGTGGTCTAAAGTACCTACTTAGAACAAGCTTAGCAAAACACAGGGACCGCAGTTCAATCCCCCAGCACCACATGCCAGCCAGCCCCGCCCCCTGGTGGACTGAGCTGGCCGCACACACACACATAAATAAATAAAAAAATTAAAAAAAATGCAAACCTGTGAGTTAGATGCTGCTTAAAACTCTCACTAAGAAGCAGTTGCTCTAGAGCTAAGAAGCGGGGACGTAAGAGGTGAGGAGTACCTGAAGTGAACATTTTCCCTGCACCGGAGATCACCACAGCCCGGCAATCGGGGTCCTGCGCTATCTTGTTGAAGCATTCCACCATCTCCCTGTGGAAAAGCACAGTGAAGGGCTACCTCTAGGGTGCAGCAAGCCTGTCCTGCACCTGCCCCCTACCGCTCCTTCCTCCATTAGGTGGGACTCCAGGATCTACAGGTCAGACCTCCAGAAGGCCTTGTTCATGGCGTTCCTCTTCTCAGGCCGGTTCAGCTGCACGTGGAGAACATGTTTCTGGGCACAGGTCACCTGCAGGGACTCATAGCTGTGGCCTGGGGCTTCAGAGGCAGCTGCCCTGGAAGTCTCACTTTGCGCAATGGAGCTCATGGTACGAAGGCCCAGATTGAAGCCCTGCTGGCTGGGGGCTATCAGTCCTTGGGAGAAAGGTCAGAGGAGACTTCGATGATGCCGTTAATAGGGACACGGTAGCTTCAGGAACAGAGGACACACACTTCACTAACTCTAGACAGGAGAACAAACGCCTTAGACTTGTGGTAGGGGGCTATGGGTTGGGGTGCACTTATCCGTGTTGATTCTGAGACTTCAGCGCCTTAATTGTGGGACTGAACCACGTCTGGAGACACTAAACTGTCAGGGAGTCCCAGAGTCAAAGTCACAGGCCTACAGAATTAGCCCCTCGGGACACCTGAGTTTACAGGGCTTTCACCTTCCTGACACCCATATGCCTCCTCTCTTTAGACCGCATGGCAGCATAACAGCAACGAACCCCCACAGATCAAGACATAACTTACGCCGCAACAGCAGGTTCCCCACTTTACAAGAAGCCGCCATCGCCTCCGACTTCCTGAGAGTCTCGGAGTAACACTAAAGGAAAACAAGGGGCAAGTGGGCGGGCATAAAAATCCACCATGTTGGGCGAGGGCATCGACTCTGAAGCCTAGATAGCAGCGACGCCCTTCCTCGCGCCATCTTTACTAAGGGCAACCGGAAATCGTCTCTCTTCCAAGCTTGCTGACAAATTTAGCAGATAAGCTTAGGAAAAAAATCCTTTGCCCCAGTGGGAACATGGTCCAAGCTTAATTTACATTGCTTCTGGAAATGTCTGTATAAAGTTCGTCATTAGTGCTGTTTTGTAAACGGTGGAGACAGCTGAAATATACAAGTGAATAACAGCTGCGGACCAACTGCAGCCCTTCACGTTTCTAATCATGTATCTGAAATAAAAATAGTTGATATCCAGTACACAAGGAAATGAGAGTGCAGGCAGGCCTGTATTGAACACTGTCTCTGAATTCCTGTAGTATCCTATCAGCAGTTTAAACCATTTTTTATTGTACTCAGAGGACACAGGCTCAGGGAGTCACTTGTTCAAGGTCATTGGGCTTCTACACTGTAGAAGCTGGATTATATACTACATGGCTCCCATCTCTTTTTTTTCTTTTGTGTATTGTGTGCACGTTTTCATGCTTTTTATTTAAAATATGACTTTTTTGTAAATCCATGTTTTTCCTGATACTGAGGTTGAACCTAGGGCACCTCCATCACTCCTACCCCCCCCCCCCATACATACATGCTTGAGCTGGTATCTAGTATGGGGTACATGCCCAGCACTCAGCCCTCTTCTGAAGCAGGTTCTTGCTAAGTTGCCCAGGCTAGGCACAAACTTGTGATCTTCTGCCTCCCTGCCTCCCAAGTGGCTGAGATTATAGGTGTCCACCCCCTGGGCCTGGCTAAAAGTCCATGTTCTCAAACAAATAAAGCCCCTTGGATAAAAGAGATTACCCAAGAGCATAACAAATACTGCTTAAGTAGGCTCCGTAGGGAGATTTCACCAAGGCTTTGAACAGATGTCTCCGGGCCTGCGGGACTATAGGGAATCGTTCCTGTTAATGTGCCTGCTATCTGGTTCTGCAAGCTAAAAAGGAGGCTCTTTGGAAAGCATCACAAACTATTCTTCCACAGAGGACTGCCTCATTATCCCATTATCCACGCAATGAGAACACAAGGCAGTTATCAAGCCATGAGGTACAAGTGTCAACATTTAGTGTAAGAGTAATATTGCGGGTTTTTTTTGTTTCTTGTTTTTTGTTTTTTTTTTTGGTGGTTCCCCATTGACCTGCAGCAGCGCTGGTCTGGGTTGCCTTGAGTATGTGGGAATGGAACCACCGCTCAAAGAGACTGACTGCCTCCTTTAAGAAGGCACTTAAACAACTGAGCTAATGGGCAGGCCCCCAGTGTAAGAGTAATATTAGAAGTTAGGAGGCAGACTAGTGAAATTCACCCCTCCCCCCAACCAGGGATTGAACTCAGGCCCCTGCACTTGCTAGGGAAGCGCCTATTCCACTGAGCAATCTCCCTGGCCCCAAAATTCACTTTTAATCCTACCCCTTTTTTTGTACCAGGGGTCAAACTCAGGAACTTGTGCTTGCCAGGCACTTCTGCTGCTTAAAAAAAAAAAAAAGTTGATTTACAAGTAATACTTTCCCTTGCAAAGCAGTTTGCGCATTTGGACGATGCCATGTGGCTTCAGTAGATATTTAGAATGTATGTCTAAAAACTTCTTCAGATCAAGTTTAAGGCAGATTCTCACAAGACCTGTCTGACCTGTTCCCCTGCGGGCCACCTCATCCTGTCAGTCCTTAAGCCAGGCTCCTTCCAGGCTTTGCCCCACTAGAGCCATGTTCACATCAAGCAGTGAGCACCAATCTTGTACTGCAATTACTTCTACCTTTCAACAGATCAATTCCATAGAAATTGGCTAAACTACTTGTACAATGAACACTACAGGTATGTTTGCCATAGGGACGGGGATACAGCTGAGCAGCAAAGCACCTACATGAGACCTTGTTTTTTTTTTGTGGGACCAGGGATTGAACTCAGGACCCTGTGCTTATCAGGCAAGTGCTTATTCTGAGCTGTCTCCCCAGCCCCAGAAATGAGTTCTTTCCCAGTAGCAAGACCTAGAAATCATTTTCAGAACCAGGCTAAATAAACGGTGACACACCCACAATGACATCAACTCTGCAGGGCCAAAGGCAGAGAGCACATTCTACATGACACAAAATAGTCAAAATAAGACCTTATTTGTGCAGCACAAAGGGCTCTTTATTTTTTATTTTTTGAGTTTCACAGCTGATTAATAGGACAGTTTTGATAGTCAATACACTGTACACTGTTATCTTCTTAGTGGTTATCCATAGTACAAAAAGCAGACAGGATATTCTGTCCAAACACTGTTAGTACACCTCTTTCTTCTCATTAAGCGAAAGTAGCTGTAAATTTATCCTATTTTGTATAAATACAAAATGGTCTTTCCTTTGCATCCTTTTTTTTGTCCTGTCAGAGGTGAATATTCTGTTGGCATCTAAATACTATAGGTGTTTGAATTCAACTAAACAATCCAACACTGTCTAGTAGCCTATATTAGTGGGTTATCCTCAGAAGTTATTGACTTGAGCCTTTTACAGCTCATCGTATTAATATGGATTTACTTTATATACCTCATTTTTATACTTTTCTGCTGGATGGTTAAGACCAAGATATAGCAAGACCTATATAACAAGAAAAGTAACTTTTGTATCTGATAAGGTCAGCCAAGTACTCTCAGGATTTATCCTGTAGCCCTGTACCACCTTTTGTACATCCTTTTGTCAGTGTCTGACCTGAGGATGAGTCACGGCCATTGCTTGACCCATTTGCTCTCTGTGAAAGCTAGAGAAAATGTTTTTTCTCTCCATGTGACTCTCCCCAGGCTCACTTTAGATCATCGATCACATTCCTCTGTGGCTCCATTGTCTTGATCAGAAAATCGGGAGCACAACTGAGTTACATGTTGTTACATTACAGGTTCTAAGTCCCAGTCTTCACTGACCTTGAAAGGCTAGGGAAAGGGCTCTTTAAAAAAACTTTGTGGATAAAAAAAAAAATCGGGCTGGTGAGATGGCTCAGTGGTCTAAAGCACCTACTTAGAACAAACTAAGCTAAGCAGAGCACAGGGACCGCGGTTCGATCCCCCAGCACCACATGCCAGCCAGCTCCGCCCCCTGGTGGGCTGAGCTGGCCACACACACACACTAAATAAATAAATAAATAAATAAATATTAAAAAAAAAAATCTTAAAAAAAAAAAATCACAAAACAATTAACCGACTAAAGGGACTCAGTGGGGACTTTCACCTTTTTTTGCCAGCTTTCTGGCCTTATAAAAAGGCAGACAATCCAACAATTTTTTTTTAAATTTGGAGTTTTGCAATATTGTCCAGGCTGGCCTTGAACTCTGGGTTCAAGGTCTTTTCCTGCCTCTGCACAGGCACACATCACCCTGCTGGCTCTACTACCACATGCCACTTATTTTAAATGATTCCCATCTACCGTGAGTTTGCTTGGGCGAGGCCCTCCAAGAATGCCACCAGCCATCAGGATCTTCCAGAAAAGGCCCCAATTCCTAGTCTCATTCCACCTGCAGGCCAGCCCACTCTGCCCAGAGCTGGGCCTGTACCTCTTCACAAGATTGAGTGGAAAACAGGGAAGGAGACACGTCTTAGAAATCCCAGCAAGTGCTAAATTTATTTTCCAAACAATTTTATTGAAATGTGCCAAGAATACATGGGCAGCACAAATGTATGAACAGGAAAAAAAAATCTGTCAATAATTTTTAAAAAGTGAAGGTTAATCTTGGGAGCTATCAGTTCCCCTCTCCCACCCCCTCCAGACTTCCAGCATTTCCATTATGGTTAAGCCTCTACTAACTAGCATTAAAAAAAGGAAGACAAAAAACTTTCTTTGCAAAAAGAAAAAACAACAAAAAACCCCAATGGCAAAAATGAAAGAACCGTTTTCCTGCTTAGGTGGCTCTTCCTGGACCCCTAATTAGGAGGCATGCTGAGCAGTGGAGAAGCACAACTTCAGAGTGTACGGGTAGGGGCCATCTGCAAAGGACAAGACAGAAGTCAGTTTGGGGCCTTCTATGGGGGCTCCCCACCACAGATCCCCGCATTTTGCACCCACTTCTCACTTTCTGTAGTTCACATGCCTGGGTCTAAATTGGCAGTACGCAACCTGGAACTTTATAAACCTGGCACACTAGGCACACCCGTTTTCTTCCTCACATCCACAGAGGAGACAATTCTGACCTTAGCTGTGCAGGGAAACAGCCGAGCTGAGCAAGTGGGTGGGCATCATCTATTTCAACTGGTGGGGCTCCTTTTCTGGGTACTGCCTGCTCCAGTCTCTCACAAGAATGCCAGCTCTTGGGAAGGCAAGCCCAAGCAACTCCCAAATTGGCATTGAGCAACTCCCAAATTGGCATTGAGCAACTCCCAAGTGGGTGGCAGCAAGCAACTAGGCTGCTCTCCCGGGAAGAACATTACCAGGCGGCTCTCCTGGAGACCAGATCCCACCCACCTGTGTCAGGGATGGGGAGGAAAATCTCTTGAGTCCTACTTCAAGGGCAGGGAGGGCTCTGGATTGATGTTAGCCAACCAACTGGGCCACTGGGGAGTAACCGTAGGACACACAGATACTCACTTGGGTTTTTCATCTGGTAATGGTTCAGGAAGCCCAAGGTCTCCAGGGCATCACTCTTGGATTCCCACTCCAGCAGCCCAGAGGAGCTGCGCTCA